GACCGTGAAATGAGCAACAGATGTGCGTGTTTAGATTGACATTGATGCGAGCAAGGATGAAGAGGGAGCACTTGCTACGAAAAGTAAGATAGTCCTTATATTTTGAATGAACGTGATCTTGGAGTGTCTTTCTTTCCTTAGAGCGGGAAAGGATGCATTACGCAGTGCATGAAGGAAAGACTAGCCATCGCGTGTATATAAACAGTTGACTTGGATGATGGACGAGTACGAGCTATAATGAAAGAGATACGGGGAGACTGGGACCCAGCGAGTTGCATAGATGGGACGTGTAATATTATGGTAAACTCCGTGCTCCTGGCGTGATTGTCAAGGATACCATTGATAAAAGTTTATTGTAGTCTGGAAATGAACGAGAAGGATTCTGGGAGGGAGAGGGGTTTACTTGAGGGTGCATGATACGAACGTTAGGAGATGAGACCAATTTCATTTGACGTTCACTTATCCTCCTCAACGATAGGATGTAGGTGCTCTCCGTGAGCATATCCCCGTTGCGATGAGCTGTCATCGCTGGTCACGGCAGACCCAACGGGTACAGGAGGCTGGAGAACTTCATCCTTAGAGGCATCCTCAGCCTCTTTAGGCGCCTCTTCTGTCTTCTTTTCTTCGACCTTCTTCTCTTCGGCCTTGTCAGTTGTCTCCGCGGGCTTGGCAGCAGGCGTGGTGGTCGAAGTTGTAGCTGTTGCATCTTTTCGGTCCTTAGCCAACTTTGAGCGGCTTGTCAGCTTCTTGATGGAACCGAAACCTCTACTCAATAAAAATTCGTTTGAGCCCTTCTTGCCTAGTTGCCCCAACTCCTTGTCACCTTTTGGGGTGGGAGATGTAGCACGAGCGGCTGCCAACTTTTCGTCATTCGAATAGCACCGATCTATTGGTAGAGGCTCCGTAGTCTGTTCGGGAGACCAATAAGCAGATAGCCTATTCTTTAGTTTGTTGCCACCAAAGAATGCCTTTAGTGGCGAGGAAGGAGGCTTCTCCTTTGACGGTACTGGGGAAGCCGAAAAGCGGGATTCGGCATTATTCTTTGTCGAAATAGTGGCCGCAGTAGAATCGACGGCGGTTGGTTGAGTATTGGTGGTCCGCTGTCCAGATGTCTCATCCGATTCTGCCGCATTGACGGTGGTAGCAGCAGCAGCCGCTGGCGCCGCTATTGTCGCAGCCGCTATTGTAGTCGTAGTAGTGGCCGCTGGTGGTGATGCTACTACTGACAGTGAAGGTTTTGGCTCTTCTACGAACGACCTGAATGCGTCACCGAAAGGAGTGAGCGACGATTCAATTTGAAGGGTCGGGGGTGCTGCAGGGACGAGAGATTTTCTCTTCTTCTTGCCCTGCTTGGATGAACGAGACTCCGAGAGCCTCGGTGAAGGTATATTGTCAAACGGCCGCGATATGTCTTGACTTGGCGGTCGGACTAGGGTGTCACAGATGGCCAACAGATCCTCGGTCGGGTTGGTAGACGCGGGTACTGGTTCAGGAGCATCATCTTCAGCTATCGTAGGAGCATAAGGCTCAAGAGAGGCCTTCTTCTCGTCATTATCCTGTTTCTCTGGAAGGACAGTCGGCCGTTTGTCTAATTTAGGAATGATGTTGAGGATGTATGATACAATGGAAAAAAAGAGTTTGTCGACATACCTTGTTTACGGCTTGATCTTCCGAATGACCTAGAGATCTCAGAAAAGGTGCGCATGATGTTGTGTGCGGCGTGCGGATATGTGGTGTGGAGAGAAAGAGAGGAGCGCCGCTCGTCGAGAACGGAGGTGTTATGAATAGGCTGGAATGATCGAGGTGTCTGAGGCTGCTGGCTCAGCTGCGTTGCGGAAGGATAAACATGTTCAGCTATGTCACACGAGGGTAACGGAGGTACCTACAGACCGGAATCCGATGAGGCGGCTTGCTGGAGGAGGTGCGTAGCGGAAGGGAGGTTAAAGCTAAAGAATTAATGCGAGAAAGAGGAGGGGAGAATGGGATGCAGCGTCGATGGATAGTGGAGGAGTAATAGAAGAGGAGGAAGAGGAGGATACGGTCGGGAGACAAGGTCCTAACACAGACGGGCGAGGATCAACGAGGCCCATGGCCTATTACCGTTTGGCTCGTCGGCACACCCTTGGTGCGCAGATGTCAAATGCCATTCGTACGTGCAACGGTAGTCTGTTTCAACCCGCAGAATAAAATAGAACTCAAGATCATTTGTTTGAGGCTCGTGCAGGCAGAGCGAGCGAGCCCATGAAGCACCCAGGGGAGCGAAATTGGAAGATCAGTCGCCTTCTGCACATCATCCCAAACAGCTTCGAAATTTGTGATCACATCCAGGAGATCACAAATTCTACTTGTTAGAAATGACGACGATTAAGGCCGCCGTTTGATAAAATGGCGGATGTGTCGTAGACTGAAACAAGCTGCCACTCCCTTCAAAGCAAGTCTAAGCAGTCGCCCCTGGTCCAACGAAAAAAAAGCGCAATCTCATCAGGGAGGTGTACGAATATAAATATGTAGGTGGTCAATAATGCATTGTATTCACTAGGAACGATATCTGATAGACAAGAGATTCTACAAGGGGATACGAAGCAAGGGGATGTTCAGCGATTCATAAACGCGTTCCGTCCACAGAATCAGGAGGAGGCACTTCTCTGTCGCTAATAGGACAAAACCAAGTGGTTTTTACTTTGCTATTGGCCCTTCACCGGAACCGAGACGGAGTGGAAAAAATTTGTCGCGCTCGGGCAGAAAGAGGCCCATCTATCCATTTGGACAGTGTAACCTTACGAAATCGAATTGATTGTTTTCATTTCATTTCGACGTTGCAGATGTTTGATTATGAAAAAGGATTGTCGTTGGTATGGACAAAATTAAAACTCCGCGTGGTTCTGCGGCCAATAAACCCCAAAGGGAAACACGGCGGATTGAAACATCCGCGGCATACCAATGTATCGAGACTTCATGATATGACAACAGAATATACGTGAAAAGAGTGTTCATTTAATTAGAATAAACAGAGTGACTATGTCCGTACGTATATCGGTAAGCTAGATGGTGATGAAGATACTATGGAGGAGAGTCTGGTCGTCGCAACGGTAAGAGATAGATAATTACACTATCACTCGTAAACGCAACAAACAAGAAGAGAGAAGCCAAGAGTCCATATATTCTTTCTGCAAGGTCTGGCGATGTCCCATAGCCTTGAGCGGCCGTGACAAAGCTCAACCGCACACATTGGGATAGATCCTGTTCGTCGGGTCTTGTGGGATCCATCCGTACCTCAATCCAGCAGAATAGCTCCACTCATCTGCATTCTCTGCTTTCCACGTCCAGTAAATCCATCCAGCATTGGATTCGAACGCTATTCAACACTGTCAGTCCCCGAATTCAGTAAGATAGCGGATGAACGTACAGGTAACTTGTGCTTCCCAGAACCTCCTCAAGAACGCCTTGTAGTCATTGGA